CATGTAAGAGGAGTAGGATCATGCTGCATTTACTTCATGCTCCTCGCCTGCCCATGTACTGTTGGCCACTGATAGAGACAGAAGACTGGGTTGCATGGATATTTCATATGAGACAGTGTGGCTTTTCTTATGTTATTGAGTAATATATTCCCTATGTTTTCATAAAAACTGGCATTTTTTTCCACAATCATAAACTGTGATTTTTAAGGACTGTGAAGAGCCATCTGTAAAAGGAAGTACTATCAAAATACAGAGATACTATCTGAAATTATATGATCCTTATTCAAGTGAATAAGGATCATGTAATGTGCCATTTTGGTCTGTATAGAGGGAAATTAATCTACTGTGATGATGACCATCTATGGTAAAAAAAAAAAGAGAAAAATTATTTGAGAGAGATTTTACATGCCATAGCAATGCCTCTTTCCTTTGGACTCAATGAATATTTTGTTGGGATCCACTGATGTGGTGAAAAGGAAAACAAAAGGGCACAGCTCTATCTGCAACCATGGAACACTCTCCCATGGGCTATGGCAAAAAGCTGCATATTTTCCACAGCTTCTGTGTTTGATGAGGATTTCTTTAAAGGGTGTTTTTAAAACTGAATGATCAGGGCTTCATAAGACCTGGTATACAAAGTGTGAGACCAAATATACTGCAGAACCACACATAGAGTGGATGAGCTCATGTTTCTAAAGATATCAAGATCTATATTTTGTACTCTTTTGTCCATTGCAGAACTGGGAGGACAACCCATTGATATAAAGTGAAAACTTCTTCATGCTTTCTCTGTGGCAAAGGCGATATTAAATACAGTGGCTCTGAGCTTCTAAACTGCTTTTGGTCAATCTCACTGACTCAGTTTTGCCTGAATAAAGGCTAAATAGTGGGCCAAGTTGTCTTTGGTTATTATGTAGCCTCATTCTTTCACTTAAAAACATGCAACTTTGAACCTGAAATGGCCAGTCAGAATAAAGGACTCAGGAGAACAGAATAAATTACAGGAGAGAAAGAGTGTGGCTGAAAAAACCCCTGTGTCTTTCTCACTAAAAGGAAAGGCATGCTATCAGCATGCTCTTTATTAAGACTTGTGCGTTTTCTGCTGAAGGAAGATAAGATGTGGGGGAAGAGAGAGTAGAAGTTTAAATTAGAATTGATATCAGATGCAACGATTAAGTATTGACAATCTTTCAGGCTTTGGAATGGTTCCCATCTGCAGCTGCAAGGCACTACAGCAGCTTTAGTATTTACGAGCACTTGGTGAGTACTCTGACAGGTTTATTATTTGTTGGCTTTCTCCAGCATTGCACAGTAAAAATTGTTTTCAAAGAGTGTTCAAAAGTGTAGCTGGCTGCCACTGTATCAAACCCAATCAATTCACCAATGTATTTCACATTCTTGATTGATAACTGGCTCAGTGGTTTGGCATTTCAGGGAAGGAGTGGAAGGGGAGTAGGTCTCGATGGTCATTAATCCTTTTTCCCTGAGCCTCCCTCGGGCAACTGCTTGTGCCATTATCCACATTTCTTACTGCTGATTTCCACAATCCCATGACTGCTCAAACCACCACAAATTCACCACTGTCCCTTTCACTTACCATAGTCCTTTCATCACACTGGCCTCGGCAGCCCTCCTGGGCTGATAGTGGTCGGGGGAACATCTCTCTCTATTTTTTTTTTTTTTTTTTAAATGTTGGACCATTAATTTGGTTCCCTACCTCAGTCTCCTTTCCTCCCTCTAAATTTATGTTGTTCCTTAGTGAACAGGAGCATAAGGGTATGAATGTACTTCTTTTAAAATCTGTTTATGTGGGTTGAGGTGAGAGATGTCTTATGATAAATAAGATAGAGATTCTGTCTGCCTGCTCTCCTGCTGCTGGTTGAACTGGTTATTCATGATATTTTGCCCATTGTGGTCTGTGTTACTATGAAGCAGAATAAACTATGTTAGCTGCCAGGGAGATAGGGTATTTATTTATTTATTTGTTTGTTCATTTATTTATTTAAAAGCTGCAAAATTGTGAGCAAGCTCACAGTGTGCTGACTGAAATGTCAGAAGTAATTAAGCCAAAGCATTTCTATTGAAAAAAAAAAAACCAAAAGTATTCTGTCATTATGAGGATCAGGTATCTATAATTAATTGAGAGCTGGAACTTTTAGAGAGAAAGGAGAGAGAAAGAGAGAGGGAGAGAGAGAGAAAACACATTTTCTACATTTTTCCCATGTTGGCTTCATTACACCAAGGGTATTGACTACTCCAGATGGATTTAAAAAATACAGATTTGAGCTCCCCACTGAGGATTCAGGATAAAGTCTATCTGTCATTTGCCAGCAATCTGGTGTTACGTGTAGCTGTGCTGCTGGGAGCACTGCCTTGTGTGTGTTTACTATTAAAGCACAAATGTCTCCTCCACCTGTCCTCTAAAGAGTAATGTGTTCTGGACAAATCTGTTCCATATAATCGTTATTTAACTACCCTTAGCTTTGGAGACAGAATCCATATTAGGAAGGAGTGAAATATCCAAATGAAATTAATTAATTGCGTGAGGAAAGGGAATTCACGTGATGAAGGCAGCATAAAGAATTTAAAGGAAAGGAAACAGAGACAATGAGACAAAGAACCTCACTGGGAAATTATGAAAGAGAGTCAAATATTATGAAAGAGTTGAACATGCATAGGAATCCTCCAGTGTCTCTATAAATTGCAAATCAAAACCTGCCCCTGAAAACCTGTCCCCTGAAAGCCTTTACCCATGTCAAAGGCTCCACTGAGCCCACTAGAATGACCATCATTTAATCAAATTTGTGTTAACTGTTTACAGGTCTGGGATGAAGTACCTCAGGAGATCATTATTTCAGCTGACAAAAATATTGTGTCTTATAATGAGAAATTAATAAAGAGCAAATAGACAAACTGATAATGCATATGGACAATGTGGACGCTTGGAGCTGTGTCAGCTTGGGTAAGAAATTAAAAAAAGATCAGTATTATATGGGAGTACTGCTCTTAGTGGAATGACCTTGATTTTGTGGTAAGAGGGAGTTTGATTCCTCTTTTTATCAAAACATCAGACTACCTGGGGAAATGGGCAGAATGTACGTGAACTTAGTCTGGAACTGGAATGCTGCTCCCAAAATAGGTTTGTGTTGAGGCAGCACTGGTGTGAGAAGGGTCTGAGCTTTCTTGCGCAGTCTCTGCAAGCGGTATTGCTGCAGAGAATTGGGACATCTTGAAAAAAGCATGGTAAGTTTAGCAATTTGCAAAAAACCCCAATTGCTTTGTAAGCAGTGGAAAGTCTGAAGCCTGGCTTCCTATGGGTTTATATCCCAAGGTGAGTCTGTAGTGTGTATCCTTTAGTACCTAAAAGGGATGAACTAATTTTGTGGTCTGTCTGCCATTAGAGGCACTTCAGTTTCTTTCTCTCATCTATGCTATTGCATTTTACCAAATTTACAGGGATTTTAATTGAGATCCTCATCTCAACTTAATTTGAATTGGCAAAAGGGCACTGAAATTGTTGGAGAACAAAGGGTGAGGAAGCTTAAAAACTGTACTAAATGAATGTTTAAATAATAATACACAAACAGGATCTTCTGTGAAAGATTTCTGTCCTACTGACTGATTTCTCTCTGGTCTTTCTCTGGTATCATTCTGAGCCAGTAGGGCAGGATGAGACCTTATATCCCCTTAGGAAAAAGTAACTCAAAAAAGGAACTTCAATTTTCATATCACCCTCCTGAACAGCTTTTCAGAATTCGGGCCAAGGTACACTAATACTCAGATTCCCTTGTTAGAGATCCCTCATCCTCCAGAATATCCCTTGTATCTGAATTCTGCCTTGCTATTAAATAGGCTATGGGAGAGTAATATTGAAGACCTTGACTGTTGCCTGGACTGCTTTGGAAAAAAAAAAATAGGACACCATAACACTTTGAATGCATTGCAACATTCTAAAAATGCTGGATTTAATCTGTTTTCTGCAGTAATGAGTTATATGAAAATGTTGTCTTCCCAGCACATTTATGCATTATTTCCTAAATCTCAAATTTTGAGAATTGGGCTATTGCTTGGGCTGCACAGTAGCAAAGATAATGGGGGAATTAAACATTTGCCTGGGCTAGGGGTACCCAGTGGAAGGTCCCATAGTTACTGTACATTTATTGCTAAAGCTTGAGCCTTTGGCAGCGTGTTCTCAGTATCAGGATGTGTCAGAATATTCACAGCTTATAAGTGCTAGTAATACTGACAGGTTCATCAAACTCATCTTCTTAGAGCTAGGACAATTTATTACATCTTTTTAACCCAAAGGAGTTTATATAATTGATGGATTTGGGTTACATTACAGATACAAAATAACCTTGAGAGAATTGGTGTTCACTGCTGGAGTTGAATTTGATAGAGCTGAAGTGCCATTCACCTGGGGCTTCAACAAAACTGATAGCTCTAGGTTTTATATGACCAATTTAAATTGTTTGACTAGAACTATATTTTATGTCTTAAATATAGGACATGCTGATAAGGTTTGAGGGAGAGGGGGTGGAGAACGTATAACTTAAATAAAGCCTCCTAAACCAGCAGAGATTCTTCCCTTAGGGCTTTTTTTTTTTCCCTTTTTTTTGAATGTTAAGTGATGGTGTTTCTAACATGCAGGTAGGATGATCAGAAACAAAACTCAACATTTCCGCAGTAGAGCACTCTTTATTCTCCCTGGTGACTGGGAGTCTCTGCTGTTATGCATTTATGTAAGCTTTTAAGAGAGATATGTGTTAAAATAAAGCCTTCAAATTATCATGAATGTGCAGCAGTTTTTATTTTACGGTTAAATAATACTTTCCAAAAGACAGCTGGGAAACTGAGAGATTGAGTGGCTTGACTAAGCTCACACAGTAAATCAGTGGCAAAGCTTTGGCTAGTCTGTAGACTGCTGAGTCTCTGGCATATGGAGTTGGTACTGTCTACTAAATACATTTCTTTCTTTGCAGGTCTGAGTGGCTCTTAAATCTTCACTATGTCTTATTGCACTTGGGTATGTGATAGAAACAAAATCCAGTGAGAAAATAAAGAAGAAAAATGGAAATTTAAAAGCCAAATATAAGATCGTGAAAAGATAAAGTCTTAGTTTCTGTTTACTATTTAAGTGGAGTAAGTAAATTATGGTGATGTTCCTGGCATAAAAGCAGGTTCAGAACAATGTTAGAGGATTTTTTGTTTTGTTTTGTTTTGTTTTTTTTCTTTTGAATGAATGCATAATTTTAAATTGAGTAGGGGAATGGAGGTGGAGGGTGGGACAAGAGTGAGATTCAGGAACTAATTAGGAGGTGGGAAGGTGATTTTGAGTGTCCTCTGATTCTAAGGACAAGGTTAAGCAGCCAAAGAATTCCAGGAGAAAAGGGATTGCAAAGTAAGTGAAAATTGAGGCAGGCATAGTCCTATATGGAAGGGAGTTCCCTGCTCAGTGATGTTAAAGACTGGCAGGAGAAAGATGCTGTTAAATGACTCTGTTTCACTAAATCATCCTCAAGCAAGCATTTCCACATCTACTTGTTGCTACTCTCCACTCAGAAAAAACCCCCACAAATTGGACTCCTAGACCATGCTACAGAAGCTATCCACAGAGTAGTATTTTCCTTAGCTGGGAACTCAAGTTCTAGATATCTAGGAGCCTTTTCTTGAAGCATTTTATCCTTATAATCTAAGATATATTAAATACATTTTGGAAATGTCTTGAAAAATAAATGATGAACTGAATGTTCTGAGTTGCTCTAGACATTCTATAAAATACTGATAAAATTTTGAGAAGCAGAGCCCTTCATAACACTGTAGAAGAGGTCCAGATGGCCAGTGCATCACTGAAAAAGTGTATATTGCTCTGTTGTAGGGACTGTCTGAAGAATTCTCAGCCATTATTATTTTCTTCTTTGGATGATATTTCCTGATCAATTTTGTAGGTGACTGTTGAGAATTTTGAAACAGTAATGATAATAGTAATATCCTTTCCACTGTGACATTAGCTCAAACTTATCTGCACAAACATTGTCAGGTGTCATGGGAAAAATCCAAACATTACCTTTAAAATGGACTTGAGTGTGTTTTTAGGTGATAACATTAATATTTATTGACATATAATTACAGTAACTAAAGAATAGCTCACAGGAGAAGCAACTAATGTAAATCATAAAGGCCTTATAAATGTCTCATTGGATTACAGTGATGTTTCTCTTTTTAGGAAGCTGCATATACAATGAAGAGACAGATTTTCTGAATCATGAAGTTTCTGTTATTTTCATATGGACTGCAACCTTTATTTCAAAATGAAGCAATGCATTTGAAGGTTAGTAAAATTAAGAGGTACAATTGTTCTTTGTGTATGCAGCCCACTTTAAAGACAATTTAAGGAGACAGTAGTCTTGAAGTCTTCACTTTCTCAGGACTTTGTGAACATAAAATAGAAAGACAGTTCAGGGAGTTCACCATGAAAGGGAATTCACTGGGAAATTTTCTCTCAACTGCAATTATTTCCAAAACTCTTGGACGGGGGTGGGGGGAAGAGGCGTCAAGGGACCACAGCATACAGAATTTTATCATGCCCTGAGTGTCTTAGCTGTCATCTAGTTGGGTGGCAGAACCAGCTCCTCCTTTGAAACACAACCCATCCTTTCTTTGATGGAAGCAGTGCGAGTATGACACCAAAGGTAAGAGAGGTGATTGGTTCTGCTGAGTGATGTTACCTACTGGGAGAAATTTATGGCTTGCTGGGCCCATGACTCTTTAGGCCATGGAGGAAGGAGGAAATAAAGAAAAAGGCTTGGGAACTGAGGACAGGGAGGCATGACTCACCCATTACAGTCATGGGCAAAAGACAGACATGTTAGGGGAAGGAAAAGAACATAAATTTAATTCGAACACCACCAACAACCACCCCTTAACAAACAGAGTAGAACAGTAAGAAGTATAACCACATCTTAGAAACAGCTTCTCCCACCCCTCCCTTCTTCACAGGCTCAGCTTTTCTCCCGATTTCTCTGCCTCCTCCCCTCCAGTGGCGCAAGGGGCAAGGAATGAAGTTGTGGTCAGTCTTGCTGGTCTTTCCTCCTCTAGGTCAGAACTCCTCTCACTCTTCCTCTGCTCCAGCATGGTGTCCCTCTCATGGGAGACAGTCCTCAACCAACTTTCTCTGACATGTGTCCCCCCCATGGGCTGCAGCCCTTCCCAAACTGCTCTAGTGTGGGTCCCTCCCAGGTGCTGTAGTCGTCCCAGCACTGAACTACAACAACATGGGCTTCCCACAGAGTCCCAGCCTTCTTCACGTGCAGCTGCCTGCTCTGGTGTGGAGTCCTCCACAGGGTGCAGGTGGGCATCTGCTCCACTGTGGACCTCCATGGGCTGCAGAGGGATAGCCTGCCCTCTCACCATGGGCTGCAGGGTGGGGTCTCTACTCTGCTTTACGTGCTTCTCTCCCCCTTCCTCCTTCTTTCTTCCACTGACCTTTGTGTGTGCGTAGGTGTCACCCTCACAACTTCTTCTCAAACTCCCACTCCTCCCCCTAGGTTCCCCTTCTTAAATATGTTATCACAGAAGTGTGGCCACCATCGCTAATTGACTTGGCCTTGGCCAGAGGTGGGTCCAACTTGGAGCTGGGGGAGCTTTGAAAAGCTTCTCACAGGGGGCCAGCACTGTAGCCCCCTCCCCTGCTACAAAAATCCCCACCACATACACAAACCCAGCACATATACAAAACTTTATTTTAAGAATTCTGTATTCTTGTCGCCCTGCTGGTATATGCATATGGAGACTTTTTTATTTTGGAATGTATACAGTTTGGTGTTCTATGTAATTTCACCTAGAATAATTTCTAGCTGAAAGCCTTGTATTCAAATAAATCATGTCTCCTTGCTGTGATTCCTACTAATGTTATAGTAGCTTTTTCCCAAGACCAGAAACGCTTATATGTCTATGTTAATATTCTAAATACAGGTCTATTAAACACAACATGTATTATCATAGAGCTATATTTTGTGATGGAGTCTAGCACTCATGTACATGAGTGTAATTGTATATATGTTTATATGTATATTTATATATATTAAAGGTAGATTATAATTTATTTTCAAAACTCACTGATTTACTATAATTGTTATAGTATTCTCTCTTTGAGGATTGTGTTTCTGCTGTCTATTCATCTTCCACACTCCTCATGTCTGACATATTTCTTGCTCTACTGACTCTATCTTATGCGTAAAGTAAATCTCTCACATCTCGTGGAAGTTGTGACTATTATGGGCAGCCTGCTGCATTGGGTGTCCAGAAAACCAATGACCAGAAACCAGGTGACCATGGGACCTGATGAGATGTATCTGAGGGTCCTGAAGGAACTGGCAGATGAAGTGGCTAAGCCACAATCCATCATATTTGAGAAGTCGTGGCAGTCTGGCAAAGTTCCCACTGACTGGAAAAGGGAAAACAAAACCTCCATTCTTAAAAAGGGGAAAAATGAAGACCCTGGGGAAGTACAGGACAGTCAGTCTCACCTCTGTGCCTTGCAAAATCATAGAGCAGATCCCCAGGGAAACTATGCTAGGGCACATGGAATAGAAGGAGGTGATTGGTGACAACCAAAATGTCTTCTCTAAGGGCAAATCATGCTGGACAAATTTAGTGGCCTTCTACAACAGGGTTACATCATTGATGGATAAGGGAAGAGCAACTGATGTCATCTACCTGGACTTGTGCAAAGCATTTGATGCTGCCCTACATGAATTCCTTGTCTCTGAATTGGTGAGACATGGATTTGACAGATGGACCACTTGGTGGATAAGGCATGGACTGGATGGTCACACTCAAAGAATTGCGGTCAACAACTTGATGTCTGTGTGGAGAGCAGTGACGAGTGGTGTTCCGCAGGGATTGGTATTGGGACCAGTGCTGTTTAACATCTTTGTTGGTGACACGGACACTGGGATTGAGTGCACCCTCAGCAAGTTTGCCGATGACACCAAGCTGTGTGCTGCGGTCAACACACTGGAGGGAAGGGATGCCATCCAGAGGGACCTGGACAGGCTTAAGGGATACCATCCAGAGGGACCTTGACAGGCTTGAGAGGTGGGCCCATGGAAACCTCACAAAGTTCAACAAGGCCAAATCCAAGGTCCTGCACATGGGTTGGGGCAATCCCAAGCACAAATACAGGCTGGGTGATGAGTGGATTGAGAGCAGCCCTGCAGAGAAGGACACGGGGGTATTAGTGGCTGGAAAACTGAACCAGCAATGTGCACCCACAGTCCAGAAAGCCAGCCGTATCCTGGGCTGCATCAAAAGAAGTGTGGCTAGCGAGCTGAGGAAGGTGATTCTCCCCCTCTGCTCTTGTGAGACCCCACCTGCAGAGCTGCGTTCAGCTCTGGGGCCCCCAACATTAGAAGGACATGAACCTGCTCGAGCAGGTCTAGGGGAGGCCATGCAGATGATCTGGGGGCTGCAGCACCTCCCTTATGAGGACAGGATGAGAGAGTTGGAGTTGATCATCCTGGAGAAGAGAAGGCTCTGGTGAGACCTTATAGCAGCCTTCCAGTACTTGACGGGGTCCCACAGCAAAGATAGAGATGGACTCTATCAGGGTGTGTAGTGATAGGGTAAGGGGTAATGGTTCTATATTGAAAGAGGGTAGATTTAGATTAGATATAAGGAAGGAATTCATTACTCTGAGGATGGTGAGACACTGGCCCAGGTTGCCCAGAGCAGCTGTGGCTGCCCCCTCCCTGGCAGGGTTCAAGGCCAGGTTGGACGGGGCTTTGAGCAACCTGGTCTAGTGGTAAGTGTCCCTGCCCATGGGAGCGGTGGTTGGAACCAGATAATCTTTAAGGTCCCTTCTAACCCAAAGCATTCTATGTTTCTATGAAATGATGGATTAGGGTGCTTTTCTAGCATTTTCTCTTCTAGCTAGAAGCAGATCGTAAGGGTGCTTTTCATTCTGTGTTGCTACCCTGGAATAGTCAACTGCACCACCACTCCTGCCACTGCTTATTGCTCTCAGTGAAAATTTGTGTTCCTAACCAGGCAAGGGACTGCTGTTTATACATCCTCACTTTGATATAATTACAAAGCACTTTCATTCGTCATATTCTTTACTCCTTGGGAGGCAGTCTGGTCTATTTTGTGACTTTTCTTCCAAAAGTAACAAAGGTAAAGTAAAGAGAAGCATTTTTAATTCAAAAGAGAATTTTGTGAAACTGATTCAGCACAAATTGTGTGAAATGGAGGCTGTCTGAATGATACACAAATTGGAAAAGTTGCAGATTTTATTTCTGTTTTTATCACCTTTTTCTCACTGTTACCTTTCACATCTGTGGTAGATATACAGATTTATTTAGGGATTTTTTAAGCTCTGCTAATTATGACATGAGAAATAGTCTTCAGATTTTTATGAATAAACCTAGGTTTGAAATTAAGCTCATTGAAATTGCCATAGTTTATAGTGTTATATTTTGTAACTTTTATATTCCTTTGTCTAGAAAAAATATAGGAATTTTCAGAAGTGAAAGGACACAGTTTCCGCATATTGTAAAATTCTGGTGAGGCTGTAATTCCCATACAAATAAAAAACCCAAATGCAGCATACTTTAACTTTTAACTGAGCCATGCCAATTTTTTAAGTGATGGAATGATAATCTTGATGTCCTAGCAAATTAGATCTGAGAGTGCTAAGTTTTGCCTGTCAGTGCTCTCCTGTGGCTCCAATTCAATATGCTATTTTCTGACGGTTCAGAGCAAGTCCAATGGCGTTTGACCTTTTCATGCCAATTGGATTTTTTTGTCTTGACTTATACAGTTCCTGAATCATGCTGCTTTTAAGAGTATTATTGCCAAATATTCTTAAGTGATTATTTCTTTCTTAACTCCATCTCATTTCTCTATGTAGGTGTACAAATATAGAGAGAAAGATAGTAAGATTTCAGTCTAGTTTATGACAAGGTAATATGTTTACTAAAGAGAAGGTATTCCATACAGATGAGATGAACCACAATACAGATTGGCAGATTTTATTTGCATTTGTTGACAGTACCTGATATATAAAGATCCTGTGCTGCTTCATGGCTTGCAGGGCAGGGAAAATAGCACCTCATCTTGTTTAACACACAAATACACACACTTTCACACTCTCTGCACAGTAATAAGTCTTGTTGTAGAAGGCTTTTAGCTATCCAGAAAATATCTTCCATAACCTAGGGCAAAATCCCTAAAGTACTATAACTGAAGAAAAAGTTCTTATTGACTTAAATAAGCCTTAGGTTGAGCCTATAAATGCAAATCTTAATCATACGCCTGAATACTAGGAATATACTACAAATGGATGCTGTATCCAGAGCTGCAGAAAAAGCACTGAAGATTTCTTTCATACATTTTCTAGGTTGGTCTTATTGATATTTCTTTGTTGTCTGCTATTTCCATTTGTAGATGAACTTTGAGAACAATGTAAATTATTTGGTTATCGTCTTGTGACTTGCCATCCATTTCGTGGGTAGCATTTTTATTTCCTGGCCTCAAAATGCAATTATTTCTGGTTCCATCTATTACAACTATAGCCATGTGATCCTAGGAGAGGTCAAACCCACATTTCGGCATTTTTCCTCCTTCAGCTCTTTTATTCAATTTTATGGTACTGATATGTTCATTGTTTTCAGATAATGTACAGTCCTGTCAACAGAACAATGCACAGTGAATATGTTGTCTAATGTATCATTGAGCTTTTAGTTCTCTGGCTACAGAATTAAATGCTAGGCTTTTTAAAAGTAGCCTATATTCCAAAGTCACTATTCTAGTGAAGACTTTAGGTAGTTACTAGCACTCTGAAATATTGAATGTTATACTACACAGGGAATTTGTTTAGCTATTAGGAGGATAACAATACTACCCTGATAACTTACAGGATAACACTGCCTGTTCCTAAGCCCATACAACTGAGTGCAGAATCCAACACAATATGTTGATTTTTCTGGTTATGTACTTCTGCGACTTTAATAAGGCAGGTAAAGGACAAAAATATAAGGTTTGCTACTGTGACATGAAGTGTATGATGTTGCAGGTACTGCAACAGTTATGATGTGACCATATAAACAAAGACAGTGAACAAAGTAGATTCTAAACTACTGAAGTATTGGTGTTTAGACTTATATAATATAGTTGATGCTGTATCCTGCTCTGATCAGTGAAAAAATATGTGGGCCAAAGTTGGCAGTTGCTGTTTGCATTGCAGCTATAATTGTTGTAGGCCAGTGTGAGTTGGAACTGGACTATCAATTTCTTCCTTTCTTTTCTGGATTCTTCTCTGTTTCCTAATAAATGGAGCATATTGAGGGAATTTCTGTTCATTCTGCAGGTTTTAAAGGCCAAAATACTCTTAAGTGTGGTAAAACAAAGAAACAGTATTTGTCAGTGTTAAACAGTTATTTCTAGTCTCTTTGGAGATACTAAATATTTCATTTGTAAATCACCAATATGTATCTATAGTGAAAAGCTGTACTGTGGTCTATGATACGACTTCAATTTTTACATGCACACTCTCTTTTATTATGCTAGCTGTGTATTTGTCTTTCAGTTCCCTCTCCTTTATAAACAATGTAAGAAATCTGTATCAGAAGGTACCAGAATATAGTGAAAAGGACACAGAAAACATACTGGTCATGTTACACTCAGGTGGGTACCTTTCATATATGCTCTGCAGTTGTCCCAGTTTGTCCATGGTGTATATTGTGAAGAACAACTTAAATGTTTGTGCTGGCTTCTAGTTTGAGAAAGCCATTGACTGGACGGACTTGAAAAGGGACAAAAGAAGCTCCAGTAAAAATGATATGTGAAAAAAATTTTTAGCATATTTCAAGAATTGGAGAAACAGTACTTGAAACGATAGTGCTCCATCATGAATCTCAAAATATCTGCTAAAATGTCAGGAGAAAAAAAACAGACTGAACAAGGAATACACTGTTGAGCACTGGATGGAGATATGTGCATGCAGGAGAGATAAAGCAAGTATAACAATGCTCTCTCTAAACAACTGATTTACAGTAGGACCTATCTTTTTCTGAGTTACTGGAAGACACCATTGCTGAGCAGTGTGCTTCAGTTGGTGTAGTTTAAATCCACTAAGCTCCCTTTTGAGAGAGTATTTGAGTAATGAGCAGTAAATGAGAGTTGACCTCTGGTGACTTAATGCAGAGAGAGATGAAAAAGATAATCTATACCGACTCTGCAGAATGAGGAGGAACATTCAGCAGCTTTCAAAAGATGTATTCACAGAAGCAGCTGCAAAGTCAGGAGTGCAGGCAACCTTGGTGTTCTTACAGAGCAGCTTGCCACTGTTCTCCCTGCTAATGAACTTAGTAGTCTGTCTCGGGGGTAAAATTGGACAGTTCAGCCTGACAGCTAGAGAAGTGCGATAGAAAAAAATACATGAGCCTTAGTCATATACAAAAAAAAATTCAAGACATTTAAGGCATTGATCTCTAATTATTGCAGTCCATAAACAGTGAATGTCTGCAACTAACATATTTCAGATAACTTCATACTTTGCTCTTCCTACCATCCTCATTTTTAACATTTAAACTCACAATATATGTCTTGCAGACTATATGTTATTGGTGAGCTATGAAATGGGGATCACTGCCTTAGGAAAATTTAAAGGGAGGATATCTATACTGCAGGTAGCAGTCTGAGTAGAGCAGAGGTAGTGGGGCAACCAAGAAATCTGCGATGGAGCTTGATCAGTCCTTGAAAATAGTTATGGTCAGAATGTTAATGTGTGAAGCCTAGCATTAATATGGAAAGAATATTTTAGATACTGTTTTCTAGTTTTATTAACTGACTTAGAGATTCTTGTTCAACAACAGAGGTGGCTGACATGAATAAGAATATGTCCTCATCTGAGGACATAGATGCATCCTCACATGACGTGATTGCAAGTGGTCATAATGCTGAAGGAAAGGAAATGACCCTGTAATAACAAAGAGCTTTAAGCTATTCCACATTTGTTTCTAGTGCAATAACAGGTATATGAAATACTGTTATTAGTTTAGGACAAATAAGGTTGGAGACCCAGTAAAAAGCTGAGAGAAAGGAAATTCTGAAGATATATGAGAAGCTGTCCAAGGGGCCAGATTTCTGATTTGTTGAAAGGGAAGAGAGAACTGCTCATTTGCAGTACATGAATTCTAATGGTTTTCTCAGGATTATGCTCCTAAAATAATACTGTAATAGGCATAAGAGATGCAGGTGTCTGCTTTTGGATGCATTTCAGGTTCCTGCCTAATGTTGACCTAAAGGCAAAACTATCACTTGCATAATCTTTTATGAATACTTATAAAACCTTGGTCTTGCCAGCACTACTTCCCCCTCTGGGTTAACACAAGCCAGTCATTCAGAATTGTTGCTTGATGGGATTGAGCATAACCTGGCATGACTCCCATACTTGGACTTTCAGAAAGTGTTTTTAGTTAATTCTGTAGTGGATTCATTGGCAGTGTCCTATTTGCAGAAAAGCTAGTAGTTCCAAATGGAAAAAAGCCATGCATTAAGATACATTTATATTCATACTGTAAGCATATGCAGAAACTTTCAGTAGTACAATGTGCTTTATGAGTGGTGTCTAAGTGTCTGAAGGAGTAATGAAATGATCTGTTATTCTAGTTTTAAAAAGACTAAAGTTCTGTTCGTGCGCCTGACATAGTGTAGGCGTAAATAAAGTAGGTTTTCAGCATTGTTCTCTCAAATTAAGGAGGTGGCATAGATAAATTAATCTCTGTGCTCTGTCAGGAAGCTCATGCTTACTCTTTTCATGCCTGCTGTGTGTGAGGACTGTGACAGAGGCTGACAAAGGCCTAAGTCTTTGCAGCTATAAAAATGGTATCATTTCACTATTTTCTACAAGGGAGTAGAGAAAATACCTTACAGAATTAAGCATTACATTAAATGAATTAATTTTAAAATTATCATAGTTCGAGTTTTGGATCTCATATATGTCAGTCGTTCTACTGGAAGTCTGGTGGAGCTTCCACTGGCCGGCTCCAGTTCTACACCAACATTAATCAGATGGGAAGCCAATCCATGATATCAAAACATACAGCAAACAACAAAACATACAAGTTTCAGTCCAGCATTATAATTGAAGCTATTCTGGTTCATGATGTGCATGTGCTCCCCTGAGCACCCACTGCTCATTTGTCTGGACTGAGACATTTACAGTAAAGAAAGAGGACCTCTTCCATTCCTGTACACAGGGAGCAGGAGCACAGTCATGCAGGGAGGAATTACGGTTGCCTGATTATTGCAATAGGTGGAGCTTGGGGATTGTAATCCAGTGAAGAAAAAAGTCTATTTTATATGATGGACCAATGCAGTCTTTTGAATGAGCTGTCCCAATAGACATGTTTTAGAGCTGTGGCCTAAGTAAACCGTTATGGCTTTGACATCTCTATGGAAACTGCAAGAACACTAAACAGAACATTATAAATGTAGGATGCTATAGGCCACTTTATATAGTGAAGACTGACAGGTCTTAGCAGAATGGAGGATAAGAAAGAAAGTAGAGCATAATAATGTTTGTGCAGTATCTTTGATTTGGAAGGGTAGGACTTGAGGAGTGTATTGATTATGTGTCAATAGTTTAGAAAGTCTTGTTAGAGAATTGGAAACATGAGATATGAACAAGGCTCTGTGTGCTGACAAGCCCAATAACAACCTAGTCAACAAATGGGTAATTACTGAGGTTATTGAGATGAACTGATGCAAACATTTAGCTCATAAAATGGTGGATGAGTTACTCATCATCAGCTGGAAGAGCGTTAGAGAGAAATTCACAGCACTGACTGTATCTTCTTAAATTTTCTTTCACTGGACAGTACAATGGTGCCCAAATCTTGTCAGATGATGCCTAACAAAACATAAGTCTGACTGATAAATAAGGTTTCCAAAGCTAATACAGAAATATACTTAGCTTCTGTATGGAGATATTCTATAGCAAATAAAGTAAAAGAAATATTTTGTCCTGGTAATGAAGACTGAATTTTAAGTCATTTATCAAGGATGTGTGGGACAAGTTTAGCTGCCCTTTTCACTTTTATACAGTTTCTGTTGTAGATGAAAAACTATACACTTAGGAGTGATTGGCTTTGTTAACAGTCCCACAATGCTAGTCAATAATATTTATATTAGCTCTTTATCTTCTCTAAATTTAGTGGTAACTATTCTGATTATACTTCTGTCTGAAAATAATTCAGAGGTATTTTTCAGCAGTTGGTGAGTCAGAATATAGTTTAGGATGATTTGAGATCTTCTTGGTGAAATTTAGTATGCATATTAAATAGTTAATAATAAAACCAGGAAGTTACCACTTAAAATAATCCTGCCCATACTAGTGGTATACATCTTTGTATGTATGATCTATCAGCAACTTTGAATCCTTACAAGTTATCATTGGAAACATAGTTGTTCTAGTGGAGAATGATATTTGAGGTATCTAGACTACAACTTCTGTAATGTACTGAGTCAGTGCAAGTAAAGAATGTGCTAGTGATGTTATAGGCAAAAGAGAATTTTTTAATAAATTTCTCTTGTGAGGAACAAACAAATGTTGGGTTTGGGTTTGCTTAATAATTTATGTGAAAGATAAAACATAGGAACATAGATATCTCTTTCACAAGGGAAACCTGCAAGGAGCTCTATCTGTGTTTTATTAAAAATGATCTTTGTGAAGCTGCAGAGACTTACAGTGCTATTTAGTTAAAAAGCATCGAGAGAATCATCTTTTCTGATTCTTAGGTAACTCATGTCAGCAGTGTGAAAAAACAAAATTAATTACAAAAAATAGTGTCAATTCTATTATATTAAAACAACAGATTAATTTGATTAATGTACAGTTTTTAATGACAAAGGTTATGAGGGTGCGATGTAGCAACCAACTTGATTTATCTGCAGCATTGTCAGACTGCTTGTCAAAGAGGATGCATATTATTAATAATGACATAATTAAAACAATACAGTACCAAACAGTAAATTAATACTTAATAAAGTACTAACAGTTAGAAGATCATGCCAGACACATCTTTGTGTTCAAGATTCTGAGGTGAGATTGTCAAGGTGTTACACAAATATTAGATAAGAGGAAATCTTTAATGATACTTGCTTTTAATGTTTTAAGTGTTTTCAGATTTGCAAGTGTAATGATTACCATTTTCACATCAAATCTGTCTTTTTTCAGTGCAATGGATTGGAGTGCCTGTCAGCAACTTGAATTCCTGCTATGCATTCCCTAACTTTTCCTACCTCTGTTTTTCTACTCCTCTACGTTGCTGCCTTTATGCTATCCCTTGTCCTTGAAAGAATTTCCCATGTGCCTTTTTTCAGTTCTTTTATTCCTGTCTTTAAAAGCCTGCTTGTCCATATTCTGTCATTTATATGAGATCAGTCACAACAAGTGATTGGCACCACAGTCAAGTTTGGCACGGACAGAGATTTTTAAGCTAGCATTATGTCTCTCAGCTGCAGTGCTGTTTAAAATAAATTTGGTAACAGACAGCAGAAGAGTCTGCTGTCAGGGAGCTAGATCTAGCTGATAGGTTTTTTGAGGTTTTTTGTACAGCAAGTTCATTGCGGGGACATAAAAGTTTTCTAAAGCATGCTTGTAACTTATACTCCTGTGGAGC